CTTTGTTGCCGTTCGCAGAGATAGCCAAATGTCACACACACAAATGTATCAGTGTCGAGTTGAGTCTACCTTCATATTCAAGAGGTGATTCCTTTACAGTTTCTGTGTGCCAATGTGTCGCAGCGGGTTGGCCCTCTATAAAATTGAATGTTCCTTTTGGTGACAGGTTTAGAAGTAATTGGTTATTTACAGCCCACGTAAAGCCATTTGGGAATCTGTTCAGAGCTTCTACACTGCCATGTTCAAAGATGGTTAAAAGGGGGCCCCTATTTCTGCGGCTCATTTTCAAGGTTCATATTTGTATTTAGCTGGCCTCCACTGGAACATGTTTTAATGTTTCAAAAAGATCTGTAATGTTCTCGATAACTTGGCCTGTGTGGCAGCACAGGAGAAGAAACTCTCCCTCTGGAAGAGTTTGGGATTTTTAGCCTTTTCAGCAGCACCATTTTACATGCAGACACTGTTTTAACTAAAAAAGGGCTGATTAAAAAAACAGTTGAAGTTCAGGTACTCCGCTAATTTTCGGACTATTAAGGCGCGGCCTTTTTTCCCATTTTTCGACGCTGCGGGCCTTATATAACAGCGGTGCGGCTATCTATGGATTTTTTACAGCTAACGGCCACTAGGGAGGACCTCCTAAAATCAAGGATTTTTACAGGTTACGCAGTCCCAACACCTTTAACTCTATGGGCTCTATTGGCCGATCCGCGCGCCCGCCCCACCTTTAAGCGAGCCGGGCTCGCAGCAGGAAAAAGCTGGAGGCCGGAAAAAGAGTGAGACAGGTAGCGCGCAAAAGTAAAAGTGGAACCGAGAGTGGTACGAGAGACAGAACGAGAGCAAGACAGACAGACATTACGAGAGCGAGACAGTTTGTCCCCGTACCACTGGTTGAAAACCACTGCTGTAGATCACTGCCGGTACGTGCGCTGGGAGCGCACCGTTTAAGTTTGAAAGTTGAAAAGTTTGTGTGTCTGAAACGCTATGTGATACAGTACAGTTTACACAGCACAGCACATGTTCTGTAGCTACTATTGCACTAAATGCTAACACTTGAATACGTTATGCAAATATGCAACTTGTTTGTTGAAATGTTAATAAATGGGAGCTTCCTCAAACAGCCATCTCTTTCCCGACAATCCCCTCTGTGCACGAACCCTTACATATGGTAATTAAACATTAAAACACCTGCGGCTTATAGTCCAGTGCGGCTTATATATGTACACATCATTCAATTTAGCTGCTGCGGCTTATATTCAGGTGCGCCTTATAGTCCGAAAATTACGGTAATTATAAACCCCCTTCCGTACCTAATGTAATTGTGGGAGAAACTTCTGTGTAGCAATGCAGAAGGAGTCACCGACTCAGAGAGACAGGGGGAGAGCTGGAGCTTTGATGGCAAACACTGATGGGTTTATTTGGAGCTTCGGCCGGAGAATTCACAAAACAAGTCAAAGAGTCAGAGGCTCTGACTTCACGGTAGAGTTGCCACGTCAATTCTGAAGAACTCTACCCCAGACCCGTGTATTCAGCTAGTTCAGAGAGAAGAATCAACATTGACCATAACAAGATATAATCATAACACCTCTATCAGCTGACGCCAACAGGCAGGAACAGGGAGACAGAACACTGAGAGCACAGCAGCCAAGGTTACAGGTGTGTGTGCTCAGTCAGGACAGAACTGATACACTGGGTCAAAGTTAAGGGCCTTGGAAAATATTTCCCCAACATTAATGTTAAACAGCCGTTTAGACTACAGCATGACAAACTGAAGAAGAAAAGAAAACATCTGCAAAGTGTGCTTGCTTACTTTCTTTGAAACATTTAGTTAATTTCTTGATATACTTGCAGAAGATCAGAATAACTTTATTAGTCCAACAGAGGGGACATTTACATTACAGACATCCCCAGTGGAAACAGATTTCAAACGCTAGTCCAACAGGCTATGCAGCTAACCAATCGTGCCTTCTCAATTAACTGTGACCTGCGTCAGATTTATGTAAATCACTCCCCGCACGCACCTGCTGCTTCACGTATCAAAGGAACCTCCTCCACCAAGTTGGAGAGGTGATTTAGCAATGTGTTGCCAAACTTCAAATCTTTTATACGCCCTGACTTCAACCATTAAGCCTTCCACTGCTGTCAGTGACTTCTCGTGAAAGTCCTCAGGGCAATTTCATCATCAAGCACATTCAGTTTTTTTGTAATTCATTCATGGCATGTTTTTAACTTCACTAACTCCCCTGACTCTGAGCTTCAAACACTGCGTGTGTTACAGCAGAGTCTCTGGCTGTATCAGTATGATCGCTCTCTGACACACATGCACACGCTGTATCTCCCCCCCCCCGCCCCCGTTGTGGTCCTGAGGGGGAATCTTTGAAATGTAATCTGTGACCCTCTTTTATCTGCTAGGTGGGACGAGTGTACCCGCAGGCTGTCTACTTCCCCATCCGCACCCTCTACCTGACGCTCAAGATCGAGCAGAGGGAGCGCTACAAAAGTGGTAAGCTAACACGGCCGACTGTAATGTGTTGACTTTTCATCCATCTGAGCATCTATTTCATTAACCACGATATCACAAATTACACATTTGCTTAGGGGGCTTAACGCTGTACCCTCTGTCCTTAAACCTTTGCAGTAAATCTCCCTGAAAACAAAAACCAAATTAACAGAAAGAAAATAAATAACATTGGGGTGAGCAACTAGTAAGGATATTTTATTTTAGCTTTACAATAGGTTTACACGTATGAGGAATTTGACTTGATGTCATGGTGCATACATAGCATTAAAAAAATATAGCAGTATTTACATAGGAATAGAATGGAATATAATTCTGCAGTAATACAAAAAATAAAACAACCTAACCTACCCTATTGAGTTCTCCTTCGTTGTCCCGTCACATCTCTGTCTCCACCGCTCATCCTTACCTCCTCTACCTCCCCAGATTCCTCAGGACAGCAGCAGCCCAGCTCAGTGGGGGCCCAGCCTCACTCGGGGGCCTCGGACCCCGGACCCATCCGAGCCACGGCTCCCATGTGGCGCTGCAGCCGCATCATGCACATGCAGCGCGAGCTCCACCCCACGCTGCTCTCCTCCCTGGAGGGCATCGTGGACCAGATGGTGTGGTTCAGGGAGAACTGGCACGAGGAGGTGAGAAGAACAAAGCTGCTGGTTTTTCTCTGTGTGTCTGACAGCGCGTGGGTTTTCAGACGGTGAGAAGACAATAGCTTGTGAGACTTGTAATGGATGTGTGTGTACAAGTGTGAACGCAGGAGTGTGTGTAAGTGTGTCACGCTGTCTCTCTGGTGGGCCGACACATCGGTTTGATCTGAGGTGTGATCCCGACCTGACGGTTCATAGGGTCCTCGACATCTCACATTCACACACTGAGCTAGTGTTGAACTCGTTAATGGCAGAATATGTTGATTGATTTATTATTTTTTTGCTCGTATATTCTCAAATCCCATTTTGTGTTGGCTAGTCAGCTTCAATTGCCCTTTGCCTTTCTAGCAGCGTTTTTAATAGTTTTATAATAAACATATCAATATATAATATACAACTGTATTCATCTTACTGTGTTTATTTATGCACCATTGTACACCTGTGGCAATAAAGGCATTTCAACACGAGGCAATTCAAAGAGTTCAACACATCAAATTACATTTTACGAAATTATTAAAAAGCCATCAAACTAGTTTAAAACAAGTTAAAATAGAATAAGATGGGTATAAAATACCAACCAAAAAAGTTACTGAACATTGATAATATAAATATGTATTATTGATTTATTTATTGATTTAATACAGTGGCAAATAAAAAATAAAAAGCCTTCTGCCTGGATTTAAAAGAAGTAAGTAAGCGTTACATCAAACCTGCACTTTACTGGGAGTTGTTTCCAGATATATGGAGCAGATGAAGATCTGATTTTGTAGGATGTAGCCCGGACACGATGCTCATAAATGAGCTTGATGCTGTTGCAAACTCTTAAAGCCATGCTCGGCAGAATACATGCAAGGTGTCTGTTTTCTGTGGGTGGAGGAGAGGACTGGGAGAAGGAGGCAGCAGGCTGAGACAGGTGATGGATGGTGGCGGTGAGAGTGTGAGATGGGGAAAGGGATTTAGGGCCGGAAGTTTGCCGGTGTGAGTGTGTGTGAGTGTGTGTGTGATTATCTGTGATGGTTTGGGGCACTCGGCAGCAGCTGCAGGCTCTATGCTTGGTTCCACCGGCACACGGGCCGAGAAGCCATCATCACCTACTGTGTGTGTGTGTGTGTGTGTGTGTGTGTGTGTGTGTGTGTGTGTGTGTGTGTGTGTGTGTGTGTCTGTCTGGAGTCACATAGTTTAAATAGAACGTGAGAAAACATTTAATAAGTATACAGGCGTTTTTTGTAATTGGAAAAAAAATCTGACAGTGTAAATAAGTTAAATCCAACAAAGGATGGATGTCTGTTTTTTTCCAATGTTTGAACCTTGTGGAAAAAAGTGATTCTATCCATAACAAATATGTAACGGATTGTATCAGACCAGATGTCAAGCGATAGGATGTTCCGGTTTGAGCCGTTTTCTAGTTATTGCTTTTTTCTGCAGCTACAGAATTCCAAATAATTCACTATATATTTTTAACCAAATCTCTGGGTTCCTCTTCCTCCTCTCTGCAGGTGTTGAGGCAGCTCCAGCAGGGTCTGGCTAAATGCTACTCCGTTGCCTTTGAGAAGAGCGGTGCCGTGTCCGACGCCAAGATCACTCCTCACACTCTGAACTTTGTGAAGAAGCTGGTCAGCACCTTTGGAGTGGGCTTGGAGAACGTCCCTAACGTCTCCACCATGTTCTCCAGCGCCGCCTCCGAGTCTCTGGCCCGCAGAGCAAAGGCCACGGCGCAGGACCCCGTTTTCCAGAAGATGAAGGGACAGTTCACTACAGGTGGGTCGGCTTTTGAATGAATATAAACCTAAGGCTGGACAAACATCTAGACTAAGGTATGTTTCTGCAGAGGTATAGACCTAAAAGCAGTATATATTTTAATAATTTTAAAAAGTGATCATAGATGAGAGTAACACATGCGTCACTTCCGGGCAAAAATGATGGCCCCGCCCACTTTTAGGGGAAAACAACGCTGTCATTTGAATGGCGGTCAATTCAAATTCTGAAGTTTTGGCCAATCCGATCAGAAATGTAAGAAAACGGTGGATTTTTGGATCTTCAAAGAGACCGGTTACGATGGCCAGTCGGGCAAACAATTACATTAAATCATTGGAACGACAATCAGGCTCGATATATGGTTAAATACAGCAGTAGGCGATCGATGTCCATAGATGCGGCGAAAATTACGACCCCGCCCACTTTTGGGGGAAACAACGCTGTCATTTGAATGGCGGTCAAGCCTGAAGCCACAGAGCTGTTCTTCTACTGTCCTTTGTTCTTAGAGGAAATACAGAAAAACGTAACTGGATTTTTTTTAATGTTTCAGGTGCAATAAACGACACAGCAGCTTTTTGGCATGATACAACTATTATTTTCCGTCTCGCTCATGAGAGTAACAGCTGGCGAAATTACGGCCTCGCCTCCTAATTATAATTTAACTACATATCGAGCCCGATCGTCGTTTTCCAATGAGTTAATGTAATTGTTTGCCTGTCTGGCCATCGTAACCGGGCTCTTTGAAGATCCAGAAATCCACCGTTTTCTTACATTTCTGATCGGAATGGCAAAAACTTCAGAATTTGTACTGACCGCCGTTCAAATGACCGCGTCGTTTTCCCCCAAAAGTGGGCGGAGCTTTCATTTTCGCACAGAAGTGACATAGGTGTTAGTCATCTATTCGATTTTGTATCGCCAATTATACCACAATTGCAATATCAGTCAAAAATAATAGCAATCAACACATTTTTTCCAAATCATTGCAGTTGTAAATACAACCATACAAAAAGACAGGAAGAAGTGTGGAAGAGCCTTTTTTTATTATTTTCTCCGCGTTTACTTTGTTGTTTTTAACACTTTAGTTTCATGAATGTCAGCTATGTTAACTTTAAGCATCCGTGCTTCACCTTTCTGCATCCACGTCATACCGTACCACTTGGAAATTGAAAGAGACATAGTCGTACGTTTTCAAGCAACCTAAAAAAAAACTGTTTTTGTTGTGTTTGAAAGGTGAGACAATGGCCCAGGTTGTGAAATCAGCAGCATCTGTTTGCCTTTCACCCTACAGCCAGACTCCAGCCACCTCACAGTTAACCAGAGCAGTGTTTGTGTTATTCTTCTAACTATGTTTGGTGTTTCACAGTGGGGAAAGAGTAAAACACGTCACTCTCATGGTTAACCCAAAGTTGATGTGACGGGTACCCAAATGGTATCTGTAGATAATGAACTGGTTACATTATACCTGTACTTAGCTCAAATCTGTACTGCTTTGTTGAGAAGCTGGAGCGTCGGTGTGCTGCAACGTAATTAAGGTCTCACCGACCAGATGATTTGATTTAGGGATGGGTTAGAGGTGGTGACTGGTCAGAAATAGGTATGCGTGTGAGTCAGTGTGTGTCTTTATTACACTGTTTGCACACGCCCACACTGGATATGATTATACTCCAGTCAGCTGCATTTCGACGCTGCTGCAGCTCCACAGTGATGTGTCTAGAGTGCTCTTGGCTCAGCTGAAATGATGAAACACTGTTGTAAAAGTCTTCAGAGTTTAAAAGTCTGTAAAACATCTCTATACTGAACTGTAATGAAATGTCTTGGCAGCTGCTTATATAAAAGTAAAATGGGTTCTCAAAGCAGGTTTTATAGACTAACAGTCCCTTAGAGACTGAGAACAATGACTTCCACCATATTGGCACTGGGCTTTTTTGGGCCCTTTTTATATTGAAATGTGAACGTAGTGAAAGCCCAGTTAGGCTAAGTAGCAGTAGCACCAGCGAAGTGCCGTATAACTGTGGTTGGAGCTGGATGTCGCGCCTACAGTTTTGATCCTCTTTGTCAGGGAACCAAGCTTTGTTAACGGGCTGTTTGCTGCTCCGAAAGTGAATATAGCTCATAAAATATTGGAAGAGAATAACATTTGAGAGTGTATTGCTACTAAAGCCACCGTGGCATAGAGATGAAACACTTATCCTGTCGTATGTTGGTTCACAACAATGGAAGGGTATCTATTATGTTCTCGTTACAGAGAAAGCCATTGCATTGCCAGCATTAACTACCCATGTCGTTGTAGTCATCGCTGTAGATGCCTTGAGTTGTTAGTCTAATGTCAAATGCCATGTTGCCTTTGAGGTGACCCTTTGATAGCGTGAATTAAAGATAGCCTGTGGCTTGAATTAGCTACATGTTTAATCCTGAGAGCTGAGAAAATCCCCAATAGCGCACCTCGATCTGTTATCAAAGAACCAAGGTTACGTTGAGTAACCCAAAGTATCACTATGTCTACACTTAAGATATTTAGACGTTTAAATAAATCTTATCTTGTGCTGTTCATATCTGTACTTTCTAGTCTACCTTAAAATGAAGTCACCGATGCATTCAGAGCTGATGTAACCTAGAAAAATGTGGATTTGGAAAACACTCTGGAGGGAAAGGCGGTCTCTTGATCATGCCCAATTCTGGATGAAACATTTGAAAATCATTTGTCACGTCTTTGCTTGTAAGCCATCGATAAGGCTTTGAGTCTTTCTGGCCTGCATGTTCAGATTTCATATTCACGCTGAACAGGTGCAGCTCGATCCCAGCCAAATCCCCCCTTTGAGACATTTTCCTCTCCACAATCCTTCCCCTGTTTTTGGAAGCCACGTGTCTGTTTTCCTACATTACATGAGGGAGTTGAACCACAGTTCACTAGACTGGGTTTAAACGAGAACCGTCTGCAGCTTTCAAGCGTTCAAATAAACTTTGCTCTCTCCTTTCCACTCGCACGGACTGACTGCACATACATGTCCGCTGGATCACACTCGGGCCGCCTCTACTTTTTATTGCATTTCCACAGAGACACTCCCCCCCTCCCCCCCCCCCCCTCCCTGTCTAATGCTTTCCACCTCTACTTGTCTTAAAGTGGCCAATATAGCTAATGTGTTTGGCCCTGGGATAGCAGAGGACAAGGACTGAGAGTGAATGAAAAGAAGCTCTAGTGACTCAGAGAAAAAAGCCATTTATGGGTGTACCAGAGCTGGTAATCTTATACAATTAGAGGGGAGATTAACAGATAGTAATCTATGGGAATGACATATAGACAGGTGTTGCGGTATTTGCGAGAAAAAACATGGAATCGGCACGTGCAAAGAACAACACAAACAATAGTGATCGTCCTGCTGGTGAATCCTCCCAGATGTTGCGGTGCCAGCTGTGCTCACGTCACCAGACCACCGCTACCCAGCTGCATCATGGGAGCAGGGCCGACAGAGACCGAAACAACACAAGCCTGCCGAGCGGAACAAACAGGGTTTACAGAGCCGAGCAGCCGAGCTCCCATTCCCCCGAACCGAGTTAGTGGCTCACGCGCTTTCACAGGATTTGTGGTCCGGAAAATGTGGGTTTATGTGTGCACACATAACGTTTGGCAGCAGGGAGGCATTCAAATCCAATTACGGCGAATGCTATTTGCATGAGTTACTGTTTTAGCAGCGGATGTGTTCCAGAGCTTCTTCTTGGCTTCTTACTTCCGTGCTTATTAACTAGTCATTTGTTATGTTAAGGACATTCACCATAGTTAAATGATTCTGTTAAGCAGTTTGGCTTGGCACCTTCAGCTGGTTGTTCCCCGTAAGGTTTTCATTTGAACCAGAACACCTACTTTCTTCTGCTGCGTTGACCTTTGTTGCACTCCAAACTTCAGCTCACCGATCAGATAAAGTTAAGTTGAATCCACCCCACCACACACACACACCACCCCACACTGAGTCAGGAACCAGGGCAGTCCATGAGGGAATGATGCTTCTTTATAGAGAGGTGACCCACCTCCAGAGTGTGGATCCATAATTTGCTCCTGAAGTGCAGAGCGTCTGCTGTGGTCTATCAGGTAGGGCAGAGCAGCAGCGCTGGATTCCGCACACAGGTCAGAGGTCAACCTGGAGGCTTCCCACACTACGCTGTGTGTCTCAGCATCTTATTCCCGCCGCTCACTCATAGAGCAGGGGTCAAGTACGAGTTGAGCGAGACTGAAAATAACTGTCTTCTGCTCCTGCGGCTGCACGGCACTTTCAACAAAACACCTCTGTATTTTTTTTACTTTGTGTTAAACCTCATATTCTCACACTTTATTAAGTATAGGTAAAGCTCCAAAGAAGGTGAAATCATTGTTAGGACTGCACTGCACAATGATGAACCTGAACATGAGCACAATCGGGTCCCTTTAAAATGCGAGTATATAAGTATTTTGGAGCTGCAGATATATCCGGGCCTACACATTTAATACTATGGACTAAGATTCTTAAAAATATACACTCTTAGATTCTTAAGAATCTTAGTCCATAGTATTAAATGTGTAGGCCCGGATATATCTGCAGCTCCAAAATACTTATATACTCGCATTTTNCACACACACACACACACACACACACACACACACACACACACACACACACACACACACACACACACACACACACACACACACACACACACACACACACACACACGCCATTTCAAACCAGCTCAATCTCTCCCAGAGTGAAACCTCCTAATGCTTTAAATAAGCCCTTTAAAACAGCCAATGTTCTTTTCGGCGCGACCCTATTTCGCTATCCGTCTGCCTGCAATTCTCCTGCCTCGATAGCGGAGGGAAAATTGAAACGGTCCTAAAGAATTGCAACCCGACAACAATTCGGCACCATAAAAGGGTATAATGCTTACAAATAGACAAAGCGAGACTTGGAGGAAGAAAGTAATATCATTCCGTCTCGATCAGATATAAAGCATGTTACCTGTTTAAATCTAAA